CCAGGCATGCAAGGCAATACAGAATGGCTGGACAGAGCCAGCAGCCTCTAGGTCTCAGCCCAAATGTTGCTATGTGGTGCCTAAGAGTTTTCTGATACCCTCAAAAGCCCCAAATAGGAATCCTGCAATTAATGCATCTAACTCCTCCTTTACTGCAGTCTCCTCTCCTATTGGTAAAAGGTCTTCCCAGGCTCATGTGGGGATCCCACCCCTTTTGTGGGTTTTCATTCTGAAGCTATCCACAACTTTACACCTGAATGAATGCCAAGCTTCTCTCAATATATAAAGGAAACCTTCAAGAGCAATTTCAGAGCTACCCAGAAGAAGCAGAAGAAAACGATTTCATCCAGCTCTGTCAGACAGAGCCTGAACCAACCATGCTTCTCCCTGCTATTCACTTCTATGGCTTTCTCCTAGCTTGCATCTTCACGAAAAGCTACTTGGCTTTCAAGAACGATGCCACAGAGATACTTTATTCGCACGTTGTTAAACCTGCTGCAGCGAGCCCAAGCAGCAACAGCACGTTGAATCAAGCCAGGAATGGAGGCAGGCACTACACCAGCACTGGATCTGACCGTAACAGTGAGTATCCTACTGGCGGCACTTCCACCGCGCCCCTCTGCCCGTGCCCCGCTGGCAGCCCCGGCCCAGCAGCAGAGCGGAGTCCCCTGGCAGCGGCGCCCCTCCGCAGCTCGCTTTGTCCCGAGCCCGGCGCTGCAGGGAACCCGCGCCTCGGGGAAGCAGGGGCAAGAGAAGATGCTGCTGGTTCCCGGCTGGGACCTGCCTCGCCGGGCGGCCCCCGAGCAAAACTCCCTCCCCCCCCCCCCGTGCGAGTCCTGCAGGACCGGCTCTCTCGGGCAGGTTCCTTCCTGAGGGAGGTTCATCCAGGAACGCCGGGGCTTATGGGTTATCCGGCAGCGAAGCGAGATAGGAAAAGGATGGGCATTTCTAAAGCGCTCGCTTTCTTAATTCTCCCTCCCACTGCGGTCAGGAGAGATCTCTGGGCTATTATTCAAATGCAATAAAAAACTCCGAATTTTGTTCCCGCTGTTTAGTTTTACTTCCTGCTGTAGCACTTACCTGCTTAACACCTCCAGCAAAAGTAAACAAATCAGCTCGTCATTTACCTACGATCTCTGCTCTGACTTGCATTATTATATCTAGTCTTTTTCTGCTGAGCTTTATGTATGTATGTCAGATACATGGGACAAAACCTTCTGCTGACTTTGTCTGTGCCCTCCTCTGTCCGCCTCCTTAAAATGAAAGAAATCCAAATAAAGAAACACGCACTCCAAGCCACCCACAACAATTCAATAAAACTAGCGTCATCCCTGGAAAGTGAAGGCAAAAAGTGCCACAGATACCTTGCAGCTAAGCCAGGTGTGTCAGTTTCTGTGAATGCTCACGGTTTAAGCACACAGGAAACAGCTCATCATTAGGAGATTACTGGAGCAGCCCAGTAGGTATTAATCGTCAAAGAGCTGTCACTGGAGAAAAGCTGAGCCAGGAAAGGCATAAAAACAGTAGGAGAAACAAAATCAAATCTGCGACCAGCTGCTTCCAGGTACATTCCTGAGTGCAGCTGCAGGAAGGCGAGATGGAATCCTTCCTGAAAGGCAGGCGGGAGAACGCTCCTGCAAACAGCCCCTTGGAGCAGTCCCCTGGACTGCCCATCCTGAGACGCAGGGGACAGGGTGAAGTAATCTTCACTCGGTGTCTGTTCAGAACTTGCTTCCAAAAATCCAAGTAGAAGCAGAAGCAGCCTGTTGCTGTGATATGTAGATGTACCTTCAAAGCCTTTTATGATTCACTCTAAAATGTTTCTAGTAATTACTTCTATTTTTAAGGCGTTAGTTAATTGCATTGTGTGTAGCATCCGCGCTGTAATTGTCCTTCAGAAAGAGGGAGAGCACAGCCAGTAAAGATTGCTTATTAAAATTAAGCGTACTGTGGGCGTTTATTTCAAAGTGTAATTACTGAAATAAACAGTTGTGTTTATTGCAGGGTGCCGAGCTGCACATACAGACGGGTACAAACATGCCTGTAATAGAAGCTCTGCATGTTCATTCTATGTCAGTTGCCTGAGATAATCTGCAGAATCCTCTATGTTGCATACAATATAAAGACTACTACAGGTACAGAGATGGTGTTCCCCTGAGGACGGAACAACCACTCTGAAATCCTTACTGCTAATCATTCCAACTTTAGATGCAGAATGCCAGTCCCTGGTAACTTCAGCTATTGTCACTTCTGCAGCGTCTGTGTTCAGAGCAGCAGTGCTCTTCTCAGTCCACTGTAACCGTGGAATGAGATGAAACATACTATTTGAAATGCATTTAAAAGCATACAAACAGTTTCCAAAGCACTATTTCCCTGCTTGCTAATGATCAAACATAATTATTGTAAACATCACAGAGCAGATTCCCTAGACTGAGAACAAGCAGGAAACATTTCTTCCCTTGGGGCATTTTTTCTCTTCTAAAAGGTATGTCCCTGAGAAGAAGGATACGGAATAAAACTGCCTCTTTCACCACAACTGCTGAAATGCATCTCATTATCATTTCTTTCTGCTGTGGTAATAGCCAGAGATACCATCAGCACTCTAGGCCCTTCTGTTGGGCGATACAACAGTAAAAAGATGTCCTGTAAAGATTACAGCCTAATTTAACTTCTGCAAAACATAGTCTGTTAATGTGGAAATGACTGGTTGAGGAAATCCCTCCATTCTGAATCTCAGTGTTTATTGTTCTGTGCATTCTGCAGATCGTGTTCAAGTTGGCTGTCGAGAACTGAGATCCACCAAGTACATTTCTGATGGCCAGTGCACCAGCATCAACCCGCTAAAGGAGCTGGTGTGTGCTGGTGAATGCCTCCCTTTGCCGCTGCTTCCCAACTGGATTGGAGGAGGTTATGGAACCAAGTACTGGAGCAGGCGGAGTTCGCAAGAGTGGAGATGTGTCAATGACAAAACTCGCACCCAGAGGATCCAGCTTCAGTGCCAGGACGGAAGTATAAGAACCTACAAAATAACTGTGGTCACAGCCTGCAAGTGCAAGAGATACACCAGGCAGCATAATGAGTCCAGCCACAATTTTGAGGGAACCTCTCAAGCAAAACCTATCCAGCATCACAAAGAGCGGAAAAGAGCCAGTAAATCCAGCAAACATAGTACAAGTTAGAAGTCAGATGTTCTCTACTCACTCATCTCCCTCTCCTTGTGCCAAAATTGAACTCACCTGTAACCATTTGCTTTACCATTCTGACTGCTTAAAGACAAGTCTGCCATTGCTGTGTTCTCAGCTGACACTACATGCTTATTGCTTTGACCAAAACCGGAGGGGCATTCTCAGCATTTGGACCTTTCGGGTGATTTTCCAAATGCTCAAGATGGGGAACAACACAAGCCTTCCAAACCCACACAATGAACTTTTATGTTTTCTCCAGCCATGGAGGGAAAGAAAATTTGCCATGAATATTCACTGAAGTCTATTTTGTAAAAAGATGCTTTGTTGTGTGTTTTCATGAGAACAGTTACCTGTCTGTTGCCTTCTATATTGTGTTTTCATGAGAACAGTTATCTATTGCCTTCTGTATCGTGTTTTATGAACTTCTGAAAACAGCTTAAAAAATACAACACCTAGCACCTGCTTTCAGATTCATTCTAAACAAAAATGCCTTGCATGCTGACCTCTCTTATCTCAGTATACCAAAAATTAAAATATGCATGGCAGCAATCAAAAAGTAAAGCTGAACAAACTATTTATTTGTTGTTTTAATTATTTAATGAGCTTTTATGTGTGTTATTTCCCTCCAGAATGTTCTTATGTTTATAGCTTTTCTCATTTATCAAAGTATTTTTCTATGATTTGTGGCTGGATTAGAACATACATTTTGTAGATAATGTAAAATAGACATTTTAGCATTCTTGGTATATATATTTCCATTTTGAACATTCATAGACTTAGGTGTTATTTTGAAGTAGCAACATGAAAATGGTTGGTTTGTTTTTTCTTTTTCACTCTACACTCTGTGTTATTTTGTTTACAAGTGTGCAATCAAAGACAGATCTGGTGACTTGCTGTCAAATCCATTGGGTTTTTTTTCTTTACAAAAATAAACACTGCTAAAACCTCTGTTGTCTGGTTCTATGTATGAAAATGCACATGTTGTAATTACTCACAACATTCAATCTTTAAACGTAGGAGAAAATTATTTGGTTAAGAAAATCTATCCATGATATTCAAGATTAAAACAATCTTCCTGAGGAGTCTTTTTGGATGTATAGATGTAATATGGCCATTTAACAGATAGTGCTTATTAATGGCCTGAGCCAGGTTCATACTTAATTCTCAAGTTGCACATTGCAGAGGTGTGTATTTAGGAAGTTTTACAAGCTAGTAAGTGATGATCAAGTACATTAGTACATTAGTGATGATCAAGTACAAAGAGTAATGGTAAAAATAGCAAGCAGTTTCACCTATCCCATAGAGCCAATAGAGTCCTACACATTATCCACAAATTCCTATAGAATGCATCTGGAAATGTACAGAAGGCAGTCTACCTTCCAACACATAGTCTCTGAATTACCTGTCCATAATCTTTCAAACTATAGTGAAACACGATGGGCAAGGTTTCATCATGGGATTCTGTGGTTCTTAAATCATTAACTTTTACAACCCACTTGCACCCAAAGAAAAGATTACACAAGAAGAAAGTAATGAAAATTCTTTCCTGATAAAGTCTCACATAAGCTCTCTTTGACATTCTCTTTATCTCATTCCATTTTGCATTTTAATTCCAAAAGATTAATCATGAAGCTCTTGGCAGAGATCTTCCTTGGTTGTTAATGCAAAACTGTTTGAAAATCACTACTACTGTTTGACTTACTGAATCCTAAATTTTATTGACAAAATTTAATAACTTTTCCTCAAAGCTGCCTTCAAGAATTATTTTTAAAATCTGCTATATGTAAGAAATATACATACTTTTTTAGTTTAGGGTTTGTTTTTTTGATCTCGTGGTGGTACAGTTAAAAACCATTGCATTGATGACCTAGCTGTTTCAAGTTTAATTCTATGATCAGGAAAAAATCAGAACAATGAGATCAGAGACCATTTAAACTTATATTCTGTGATCTTAAAGGCGCTTCTTTTAAGCCTAAGAGGATAGATGATGAATAAAAGTGTGAGCAGAGAGAGATGACATGACATTGCTCCTAGGCATATCAGTCCATGGACCTACAGCTACCCTAGGTTTTTATTTTAAACAGACATTACAGTCTCATTCAATCAATTTTATAAAGGAAAGATTATAATGTAATCATAGAATCATAGAATAGTTAGGGTTGGAAAGGACCTTAAGATCATCTAGTTCCAACCTCTCTGCCATGGGCAGGGACACTTCATGCTAAACCATGTCACCCAAGGCTCTGTGCTCATTATCCCCAAATGCCAAACATCTATCCATTTTTAAATTGTTCTCCAACTTCTTCAAGATGATAAAGCACAGAAGATTGAGATAACAGACTGAAATCTAACCAAAATTATTCTCAAAGCCAATAGCCACTACATGTCAGTAAAGTTGCCCTGCCTGTTGTGCTCGACTCCCAGAAATAAGAATGATGAAAAAACCCCACACATCTTGCCCATGACTCTTCTACAGTCAGTGAAGTTTGACTGTAGTAAAAATATGCACATTTAATAAGAGTTTGCATTTAGCAATGGAAATGATAATTCCTACTTCATCTTTTCACACAGAACTACCTTAAGGGGAATAGTTCGACAGACTTCCATTAAGATGACTTCATCAAACCTTTCTGGACATGTTACTGAAAGACCACAGGCCCATCTCTAAGCCTGGAATATTTGAGGGGACATGAGGGAAGCCAGCAAGAGCTTTGTACATCAGCAGCAACTCAACTTTGAAGTGCCACCTGATTTAGCTATGGTCTCTTCTCTGGCCAAGGCTTTGGCCTTTTGTAGCGAGATCTGCAGGAAAGCAGGGTTAAAAATATGTTAATCTTGAATTTTCATCAGGAATAATGTTACCCTTTGTGACTCATCTCCTAGCTCTGAATGCTTTAATCTGGCCTATGCAATCTGCCTTCTGTTTCATCCTGTTACATGTGAACTCACAGGGCTTTACTCAAGGATACAGCAAAAGGCATTTATGTAAGTACATCCAACTAGTTTTTTCTGTATAGAGGATCTTCAGCATGCAAAGTTGCAGTGGGTAGGATATGGGTATCTTGTACCTACAGTGGAGAATCTTGCCACAGTTTCTAAAAGATTCAATTAAAAAATAGTACTGCTTAAACTAAAATAATGCTAAATATGATACATCTTATGTTTGTTTTATAACAAGTTAAAACGGAAAGACAACATGCTAGGATTTTCTTAGTTTTCACCTGAAATACTAAGCCAAAGAGATATAAGAACCATGTAAATGTTTTAAAAAAGCATAACATATAGTCAGATCACACAAGATTTTATACAAATTAGACTGCTAAATAGTCTAGATTTATTACACTAAGAATATACAGAAGTTGACTTGCTCAACAACATCCTAATACCCAAGCAGATCACTAAGCCTTAGTGCTTCTTAAAAACCATTTCAAACATCTTAAAAAAGAACAATTTTTAAAGTTCTCATACTTGCATCTTTAGAAAACTAAAAGTGAAGAAATTAGAAATAACATGTTAATCTGTCACTAGTATGTCATTGCTTTTGAACTGATGAAAACTGCCCCCAGCTAAGGGGTAAATTGTTTTATAATGAATGGAAATCCATTTTCCTTAGACATCACTAGGAATAAACTTACAGGTGCTGGTTGTTTTGGTAACATGGTAGCATGCAGAGGCACACTTTGCAGAGGCAGTGGTAGACAGTATGTGTCACTAAGACAGCATCAACTCTGGAAGTCAGAAGGGCCTGACACTTGTAGTCTAGACCAGAAAAGCCCTTGAGAAATTTGTTTATTCATTCAGTTTTTTTAGTAATAGGCACAAGTCTGTTGCTCTCTCCTTTCCAGCAGCCTTGAATCAAACCATGCAGTCCAAGTTCAAGCATTTGTTTGGAAATACATCAGACATTTGAATAACAGCCTTCAAAATACCTAACAGATTTCTGCCAGTAAATCACTGTAGTCCTTGTCACCTTGACCTTTATATCCTTTCTAAAGAAGTACAACATTAATCAAGAAAGGACTGTTCAATACATTCCACTGTGAGAGTCTTGTTGCTACAATATTAACCTGGAGGTGTTCAGTGGAAAATTATAAGGAATCCTTAGTGTTGGAAGGTGTCCTATTCTCATGATGCATTTCCTTTCCCGTAGGCCAGGCAAGAGGCTTTGATTTTAAGTTCACTGACATGCACATAAACATCACTCCAGGCCAAAACTGAAAAATTTCTAGAGATTTATGAGTTAAGCAGACATTCTGTCACTGGATTTAACTTTCCCTGAATGTTGCCCCACAACAGAAAGCCTGCCCATGCATCTTTCTGAAATGCATCAAGCCCTTCACCTCACTCATCGTATGAGTTATGTGGCCTGAGACACTGAAAAAGTGTGATTTTCAAGTGATATTGCCTACCACTGAGTTAATATTCAAACATCTACCTTCCTTGGCACTTCCATGACAAAAAAATACTCTTCATTCTTAATTAATGCTCATCAAACTACATGCCATGAAAAGTCTCTTTGCTAAGAAAAATCTCTACAAAATTTGCCTGTAACTCTGTTTTGGGAGTTTGTTTTTTCTTAACTCACTTTGGTTTGACAACATACTATAATGAATGAGGCAGTTTTATAGTACCTCACTGGAGTTCAGGCCTGAATGTCACTATACAACCAAAAAAAAAAAAGAGAGGATGTCCTAATACAGATGAAAATCAGGATCACTGACTATAAAAAGGCTGTTTGTGGAATATGGTACTTCATCAATGTAAAGGAAAATAAGAAAAAAAAACCCTCAGCTATTTGGAAAAGAGGCCTAAGTTAGAACACACTCCAACAATAATATAGTTCTGTTTACTAAACCCCAAAGACAACTGCTATCACAAAGTGACCTTTGTTATCATGTACTTTAGCAAAAAGTATTAAATCACCTGAAAATACTTTGTTGAACACTTTGTCTCTTACTTGCCCCTGCCCTTTTTCAGCAGTTGTACAATACTGTATTATTGCCTCATTGTTTAAACCCTTAGCTGTTCTGAACTATACTTACCACAGCACACTTGCTTTTTGATACAGAAATACTACAAATCTCTTTTTAGAATGACTGGATGCATGAGTTTTGTATTTTGACTACCAAAAGTCTTGCTCTGACTTGAACTAGGAGTTGCACATTTGTTTTGTTTTGTTAACCCCAGTGAGAAGTGACTTAGTGAGGAAATTGCAAAGAAACTTAGTAAAAGAATAAAACAGTCTGTGAAGTCTGATGCTTTGGTGGGCTAAGGAAGAGCTAACCAAGCACATTCATTAAAGTTCTTTTATATGAAACAGTGCAGAGTTGATGGAGATGGCCTAAGGAGAAAAGAACTTTCTAGCCCTACCACAAGAACAGCCACTGACAAATAGAAGGACTGTGCAGAGCTTTAAAAGAGGCTCTGTAGCACAAAAACTTTGCTTTAATTGCAGCTGAAGCAAGTTTAAACATCTGTTACTTGTTAGATTATTATTTTATTTATTTACTTATTTATTTATTCATTTATTTTGGGATGGGTTGAAGAAAGCTCTTTTAGATTCCCTATGGCTATTAAGCTGGGATGGAGAACAGAGGTCTGAGTGTTTCTATAATGTAAAACTGCAAAAGTTTTGGTTGTAGCAAGGACCGCTTGCCCTTCTCCTCCCTCTCCCCCTGAAAAAAAACCTGCTGAAACTTTTGCTTTTGTACATATTTACTGAAATTTTTAGGAAGGTAGCCAGAACAGCTTATAGCAGAGGGGAACGGGTTGTATCACTGCACTGCATCTTTTGTGTGCAGATACTGTAATGTCTGAATCTGCAGGTGTCTAGAAGAGGAGAGAGAAAATGAATTAAAAAAAAAAAAGGAACAGAATGACATGTGGAAGACAGCATGTGTTGCATGTCCTTCATTTTCTTCTGATCATCACAACTTTTTATGAGACTTCAGAAGACTTGTTCTGTCTGCAGATGCCAAGCCAAACATTAGCCAATGCACATGCTACCCTTGGGATTTAACAGACTGTCAAGTTGAAATTCACATGGTAGATAACCATTTCTGACCGTCTTCTCTTGCCATGCAAGGAAGGAGAAGAATGCATAGCACAGTGCGTCTGTAAAATCCACGCATTCCATACTGAACCAGAGTAAATCAGGGAAACTTCAGAATCTGACATCCGTAGAAACTCATGTTTCACTGCATTGGTCATGTCTTCTGGTGGGTGACCACAATGTCCTCCATCTGAAGAGAAAGAATACTGCCTAAGCTGAAAAAGTTCACATACAGGTTTCTTAGAATGCCATCAGTCTACCACACACCTGAACTTCCCTGTTGAAGAATTTGGCTCAAAATCCTGCTTATAAACTACATAAACTCTATCAGTAAATTCCCTCTCAGTGTTACCCTTGGGAAATTACAGTAATCTGATTTTGTGAACAAGACCATTACAAAAACAAGTAGTGAGCTATCCATAAAACCTCTTTCAGGTGCCCTGCAATTATTGTCCCCGTATTTTCATTTGAATTCTCTGTAATCAGTTATGAATCTTGACAATTCTGCCAGAAGAAAATATTTGCAACATCCTTTGAGAAGAATAAAGAAAATACTAAGATGGATTTCCATTTTCATTTGCTAAATCCTCTTTCCCATGGGGTTTCAATGACCAAACTCTTTTCTTTCCAGTAGTTAGGTTACTTGTCCCCAAATTCTGTTCCAAAACACACACACACACACACACACACACACACGAATGCATTACTTAATCTATTTTCTGAAATGTTTGGTACTGAAAATAATGTATGTAGAAGCCAAAGTGTACTGGCACAGGTAAGTGTCAGGAAGAATTTTCAAAGTAAGATGAGTTAGACTGCATTACTCAGAAAAACAGTAACAGGATACAGAGCATTTTTCGTTAAGTGGCTGGTTTGTATCCAGTTAGATTAGTATGTTGGAAAATGGTTAATCTTTGATGGTTGCTCAGTGGTATACGTTAAACAGGCTGAACCTCTGTATAATTGCTGGATGACAGGCAGCCATATTGCTGCAGTGAGGAAAAATCTGTGACCTTGATCTTTATAAAAACTGAACATGATCAAAAGACTGACCCCTTCCAATCTGACATTTTCTGGCTAAAACTGAACAAGCCAGCAAAGTATGAGAAAAAAGGATTAGGATAAGACTACTGTTTTAGGGACTACCATCCTGCAGGTTTTGCTTACTATAAATCAACTGTTTAGAAAGATAAAAAAGATTCACAAACCTTTCCATAAGGCAGGCTGGATTTTAAGGCACTTGCCTTACAAACTACTAAAACCACTAAAAATTCAAGAGGAGAGTGGAAAAATGAAATAGCTCCACATAATTGTTTTGTCTAATCTGTACCATACAATTCCACAATGAAGGTGAAGTCCAATTTTTGGGTTGGCTGGCATCTTGTTTTACCTGCTGCATTTTCAGTCCCTGATGGTATAGATAGGACCAGTCTTCATTTGTTAAGTAAAAACTTACATGGATGGAACCCCTCCTACATGAGCTCTGGCAAACTGAGTTCATCTGTGTTCTTCAGACATGGGACTAATGAATAACATTCCTGGTATTCTAAGAGTAAGGAACATTAGTAACATGACAAGAGATGCAGAAGCAATACTTCCAGTGTAGTAATACCTAGTAAAGCTTGTACCAAATCCGCACATTTTCGTTGCTGTTTTTTGATTATCTTCATCACTTTTAAGTTTGGTGAATTGTTTCATATTCCTTCACAAACATTCCATGGAGATAACACAGAACATGGTAGACCAATAAAACACAGTATAATGACATATATACACCAAAATAAAAACAAACTAAAACTTAAGAGCATTGAAAATCCCAACTCTATTCCAAACCTAAGTTCAGCTCCTTGGTATTTTCTAATGTTCCACTACATCATTACATATTACTGGCATCTGTGGCTTAATACCACATATTTAACCTGTTCATAGACTACCTCTCCTTTGAATCACTTTGGGAAAAAGAAACTACCCTTAGTCTTTCCTCAGAAATAACTGTTTCTCCAGTCACAACTGGATGTCTATCAAAAAAGAATAAATTAAACACTGCTTGTTTATCATTTGTTTTTTTTTTTTGTTTTTTTTTTGTTTTTTTTCACTGAGATGATAGGACACTATCCTAATGGCTGGTACCTGCTGTCACAGTGACAGTGGAAAACAGCTTCTGGGATTTCTGTCCCTCAATTTACAGGTCTTAATCTTTGTTAGGGTCACCATAGAATGCACCCTGACAGTTGAACACCCTAAACCACAATTCCTATACATCAGCATAATAAATAGCGATGTTAAAATTGTGCAGCTAGGCCTACCCGACCTTGGCATTACTTAACATCTGACCAACATACCTAGAACCTAAAAAGACCCTTCCAAGTGCTTAAAACTAGTCAACCATTTCTAAGAAAAAATTACACGAGGCCTCCATCTCATCACACATGTTAAAGCACTCCCCAAAGTATTAGAAGAATTTCTTAAAGTCTTTAACTTTTCTGAATTCCACTAGTCAGGGGCACTCATGAACTGTTGGATTAGATACTACGGGGTTATTCGCTTATCTTTAAATTGTTTTATTTTGTGTACACAAAATACTCATTAGCTCTTGAACTAACTTTCCATACCCCAGGGAAACAGTTCAAAGGATTACCAAGTAGAGAACAGGTAAACACTCCAGGGTGAATATAACATTTTAGTGAAGCTTCAAAATATGCGTCAAACATGAAATGAAATCTGTCAATTTTTTTCTAGCACTTGCACAGAACATAAGCAAGATGCTACCTCTGTGTATCAAGTATTCATAGATTGTAGAAGAAATTTATCTACTAGAATCATGTAAAACAATGCCAAAGATGTGACATAAAACATACAACAGCTGAAACATCAACATATATTTCTCAACACCTACCTACAATGACATGCAAGTATGAAAGCACTCCATTGTGTTCAGACACCACATTTCCTTTACATTTGCAGCATATATATTTTCTATTTATATTATTTAGCGTATATATTCTTTATTTATTCAACTATTCTTTATTTATTCTCTTCAACAATTAACAAACTAGAATTCATAGAACACTTCTACTTCATTAACTAGAATTTACAGCTTGTTACAGCATTTTGTCAAAAATCAAAACCATACACCAGAAATATTTTGCAGAACTGCATATGAAGGCAACAGCACTTAGAATTCCCATTAGGAATTTAATCAATAGGTGATTCTATGCACATTATGTATTGAGCAGGTAAGCACTCTTCATGTTCAATAGTCAACTGTTTACATGACTTGAGTTATGCATGTGATAACTCTCTTACCGAATACATGCTGTTTTGATCTCATTTCCACCTGGCAATAGGAGCAAATCAATAGCGTAACACTTCATGCTGTGCTTTCTTGATGTTGTTTATATAGCACAACACTATATTCCACACATCTATAGCATCTTTCACCAAAGACTCTCAGAGCAATAAATAGTCCTTTGCAATCACATTTTTAAAAATACAAAAATCAAAATCAGCTAACAGAAGATTTTCCCGAAGGTGTTAACTCTGATGTGGAGGGAAAAGAATTTTGCCTTTTAAACATTCCACTATCTATAATACCGCCCCAAGCTATAGGTTCTCTGTGACATGATGCTGACTTGGGAACCACGGTCATCAGAGAGCAAATACTCTGGGGCAGCTGCTGTGCAAGACTGAAACAGCGAAGATATAAGGTAGTCCAAAAGGACTGTGTGGAAGGTCAATTAGGTCTCAGTCACAAACGACAAGCAAAAGACTATGAATAGCATGAAATAAAACTCTCACACAATTATCTGGTGGTCAGTCACAACTGAAATGAAGTATCTGTGAACAAAATGCCTACCCAGACTATGCTTTCTTATTTTTTTCATATATAGAGGCAGAAATTATGATGAAGCCTAAGACTTTAAGATCTCACAGTAACTGCTACAACTAGCAACAGACATGCAAGATAAAACCTGAAATAGAGTCTTTTGGGGGACTTTCTAATCGCTTGAGATATCCAAAGAACCTGTGTCTGTCTCTGTAAACAGTGACTTCAACAGTTATAGACAGTTACTGGTGAATTAAAGGAAGTCAAGACTGCTATCCTACTTGAATAGAAAAAGTCTTAAAAGAACTGACATTCCACTTGCTTACTTAAAGCTCTGGATGTTAATTTCATGGCTTGCCACCACTGAAGTAATAGCTTCTATAGCTGGATGAAATTAGTGAACAATTCTGCAAACCCAAGGTTCCAGCTAAGAGCCCGCGTAACTCTCAGAATGCTGCAGATACTATGTTACCTGCAAGAATGGCTCTCACATTTTAAATTTTTTTAGCTTTATGTTGTCTTTTACAGATCTTGCACTTCCACTGTAGGAAGTATTTTTTTTTGGGGGGGGGGGGGTGGGGGGGTGTTTTTTGTTTAGGTTTTTTTTTTTTTGTAATTTTGCTTTTGCAATTCACTTTAATTTTAAAAATGTTAATTGATTGCATGCATTTCCCTTTAAAACATAAAATAGTGAACCTTGCTGCTGGTCAAGAAAAAAGAAATTCATCTTATTTTGCCTTCATTAAAAGCAAAATGATTCCAGAGTTTACAAATGACTTTGAAAAATGGATAGAAAATCTTGCAATTAATATATACCACATCTACGGAAGACTCAACTGCAACTTTAAATTAAGAAATTTTATTCTTTTACTCATTTTTCACAAAAACCTTTCAGCATGATTTCTATCACTTCAATAACAATGCTCTCTGGAAACACTATTATGAGTTTCAGACTTAGAAACAGATGATTTTTTTCCCCCAGCAATTAAATTTTCAGGTGAATTTCACTTCTGTAATTTGATTCCAATTTGTATGCATCTTCTTTCTTCAATAAAAAAGAAAAAACCCCACTTTTCTTGTCAAACATATCACTGGCATATTTACTGCATAATTGCAGACTACTACTCTGGTTTCAGCTGTTATACCCCTGCACAGAAATGATGAATTTGCCTGCTCCTAATTTGCTTTGAGGCAAAAATGCTACCTCTGCCCTTTTTATGCAATAAAAACTGTGCAAAATTGCTCTCCTAGTATGTGTGAATTTAATTTTTACCCCCCTTCAAATGTTTATATATGAACATGCACATATATGCACAATAACCAAATTATTAGATTGATTCAATAAAATAATGCAAAGTGGAATGAAACTGAAGCAAATTATGTATGCACAAAATGCCACTGTATTTCATTGCATGTATCAAATATTAAAAAGATGTGAAACCGAAAATCCTAATTTTCTTAACTCATGCTAAGACACAGAATAAATTGATACTGATGTTAAATACACACTTCTATGTTGCTAAGGAAACAGAAAGTAAAAGAAGAAATAGCAGTTAACAAGATCAGTGATCAGTCTACTCAAGACTCCAAGAATCTAATCTGAAGGGCTTACTGAAGGAACTAACAAGTGCTATCAACAAAATACAAGAACTTTTTACCCCAGAGGGACTGTGAAAAGCATGAAAACTTCTGAAGCATGATGTTCAGGTACAGCCAAAAGCAGTTTCAAAGTGCTGCTTTGCTGGATCATCAAATCTTGACATAAATTTATAACATATTTGACAATACTGAAGTTAGCATCCATCAAAGTTATTATCAAATATAATTTCTTCTGGACAGATCAAGCCTTGTCCACCAAACATAGTAAGGAAAAGGCTTCAGAACAAGAATGGAACCCATTTTGGCACGTGATCCTCTTCCTTCAAGTTCTCTTGCCTTTTTATCCTTCACATTTGAAATTAACATCCATGAAAGAAATGAAGTGGGGAAACACTGGATGGGCAAGACAGAAGGTCCTAGGCACAACAGACTGTTGGAGTAGGAGAAAACACGCAAACCCATAGTGTGAAGAAGGAAGGGGAAAATAGTTCTGTGTTTGTGTTTGTGAACGTCCTAATTACCCACCCCTCAGAACCAATGTACAGTTGGAGGAGCCATGGGAACTAAAAAGACCTTACTGTGCTCTTTATAATAATGAAAACAAGAAAAATGTCTGGAAAATCAGCTACAGTTGACTAGATTAATGTCTGTGCTCTTTAGGAACGGAAGCATGAAGACCAGAGTCAGGAATTCAGAACGCCTGTTACACTGAAAAACTGGAAAAGGTCAGAACATTGCAGAACAACCTGCTGAGAAAAACTCAGAATAATGTAATGTATGTGATCCAATATGACTGCAGATGCTGGAGGTACTTATCTTACAAAGAAAAAGTTGGGCATCTGATAACAAAGAAGTGATGCTGAATGGGTGGCAATCTGTACAGAGGGGAAAAGTCAGGGCAAACTTGGAAGTCCTGAAAAGAGAGAACAGACAAATGTATGTCATCAGTAAGAAATCAGGTGTAGACAAATACTTTCCAAGGAAATAAAAATAAGACCCACTGAAAATGAAAAGAAACAAGTAAACATAGTTTATAAGCCAATGGATTTTCTAAAAGAAACCCCACCAAAAAAAAAAAAAAAAAAGAAATATTCCCCCATGATAAACAGCATGGAAGACAAGACAACTGGAGCAACACTTGTTCAGCTTCTAGCTAATGGTGAAAAGGGTCTCAATTCCACAAGTTTTTCAGCAATCTGTATAACTCATATCTTTTCCTCTTTTTTACATACCACTTTCGTTCACTTTCCATGGTAATACATTTATTCCTCACAGAAGCTTTTGAAGACGTCATTATCTAAAAGGCACATCTGTATGTTTTCATTTAAGGTATCTTCCTTCGTTTGCCATCAGTCCCTCTCATGTTTCACTATACAGTATGAGCTGATGTGATTTTTGTCCATTGTTACAACTGTCAAGACATCTCTACATGTAAAGGGACTACGTCCTCCACTGTGCTGGCCCATTTTCCAATACTTTCCGGCTATTGCAGGCATCAAGGATATCTGTGAACTCTGCTTTTACTAAGAAGGATCACTTTACTCCCATTGTGTGACTCTTATTTATGATGCCTCTGTGATCCCATATGATCATTCTACCCCAGCCCACAGCTGGCACTGGCAAAGCAGCCCAGCTGGGATATAACAAACTCCCTTCCATGCTGCTTTTTCAATCAGACCCACTCTTCAGAAAAGTCCTCCATATGTGTCCTACTTAGGTTCCTCTTAACTAAGAGAAACCTGGAAAACTGTAAATAAGTTAGCTTCTCTAAAAGATAAGAGTCCTGCAGACTTTAACGTCTCTGTTCATTTTAGCATATAAAGACAAGGATTTTCCCCCAGAATAATATCAAAGAGGACAATGTTAGGGCCTGAGTGTAGCCACCTTCAAGTTTAGTTGTCTGAGTTAAGGAGTTCAGCTCACGAAGCCCAAGAAGAAAGTTAGAAGCAGGGATCTGACCCTCCTTTCCTCCTTTTCCCTTGGGAGCTACTTCTAAGCAGAGTCTTTGTTGTTGGCCCCCTATATCTGCACCTGATCTGGTGCCCCCCTGACCTGGACCAGCATCCACTGGCTCAGCTTCCTGGCTAGCCCTGAGACTTGCTGCCTCACTGAGACATCACGGGTGATCACTGGACTATGCCTGACTCCAGGGCCCTGATCCTGGCTCATGCTTGGCATCTTGCTCCTTGCTGGTGAGGCTACTATTCTCATTTGCTTTGATACAGTGATCTGTTCCAGGCTCCCCTCCCCTATTGGAGTGGCTGGCCCTCTCTACTCCCTGACTGGTGTGAGCAACAAGCTCACAATAGTTCTTGCATATTTGAAAAGCTGTCTTTACAGCGAGATGTCCAAAATTTTCAGAGGAGGGCAGAGCTTAGCGGTAGTATTTAAGTGCACTCAAGTTACAATGTAAGACGTACAGTGAAGTCAGACATATCAACCTGAGACCTGTTTAGCTTATAACAAGTGCACCTCTCCTATGAAGACAGAGTTGGAGTTCAGCCTGGAAAAGGCTCTGGGATGACCTTACAACAGCCTTCCAGTGCCTAAAGCAGACCTACAAAAAAGCTGGAGAGGGCTTTAAGCTTAAAGGGGGTAGATTTGTGTTAGATACAAGGACCTCTTCATTATGAGGGTGGTGGGAAACTGGCATGGGTTGCTCAGAGAAGCTGTGGCTGCCCCATCCCTGGCCGTGTCCAAGACCAGGTTGAACGTGGCTTTGAGCAACCTGGTCTAGTGGAAGGTGCTTCTGTATACAGCAGGGGGTTGGAACTGGATTATTTTCAAGGTCTCTTCCAACCCAAACCATTCTATGTCACACTTAGTAAGCCCCCTCCTCACTGGGCTGCGTCTCCTACCTAATGCGTATGAGCCCTAGGGAGTTTTCCAACCAACCTGTCTCACTACTGCCTACAGCAACCCCATGAGTTGAACGGGAACATCCCAGCTTCCAATTGACTTGACTACTGCTTCTTCAACCTTTCCCTCCTAAGATTAAGGGCAACGTAACCAGACTTGGGGAGGCGTCCCTAACCGCCTCGTACGGAAGCGGCTGCCCCACGGCCGGAGCTCCCATGAAGGCGCAGAGCCGGATTCAGCCCACCCTCCCCTCGCGTCCAGACACGCTGCATTTATCTCCTCATCAGACAAAACACCTCACCGCGACCAGAAGAGCTCAGGGCCGGGCGGAACAGGCCCCGCAGAGACAGCGCCACCCACCCCTCCCGGCATCACCGGACGGGAGACACGAACCACGACCCCCCAGCCGGGCGCAACGTTCAACGGCCTCAAGCCGCGCATGCGCTGGGCGGAGTGACCCGCGCGCTGCGCGCTTAAAGGGACAATGGCTGCAGCGTCCGCCTTGTGCTGTCACGTGGCCGCTACCGGGGTGCTCCGTGCGTGCCGCGGAGCCGCCTGGGCCCGCACGCCTATGCGGGGCTTCGCGTGGAGCGGAGCGGGCGAGGAGTAGAGCCCGATCCCCGCTGTTGTCAGGCGAGCGAGCAGGCGCTAGATTCTTCGGTTTGCGGACGTTCCGCGCAAATAAAGCGGGCGGGCGGGAGGCCGGCCCCTGCTGCCCGTGGGGTGAGCAGCAGAGCAGCCGAGGCGCCCTGTGCAGATGGAACCCAGCAGCGGGAGCCGCGGCCCCGGGCCCGCCGCTGCAGCGGTGGCGGCCGTGCTGCCGGCGGGCGGGAGCGGGGAGCGCCTGGGTGGCGCCACCCCCAAGCAGTTCTGCACAGTGCAGGGGAGGCCGCTCGTCAGCTACACGGTGCGGGCGATGGAGAGGTAACGAGGCAGGCGCCGCTCGTCTCCCCGCCCGCGTCCTGCGGGCCTTCCCTTTAGCCCCCGGCCTCGCCGCTTGAGGTCCGGCCGCTGGCCCTCGCCGTGCGGCCACTCCGCAGGAAGCAGCTGGCTGAGACCTTGCTGCAGGCCCCCGACTCCCCCGGAGCCGCCGCCCCTCGGAGGGCTTGGTATTGCGTTTCGGTGGGACCTCCTGCTCTCCCCGGCCAGTCAGAATATGTAAAGTGACAGGGTGGCAGGAAACTGGTGTGCTCTGAGCACTGGCTAAGACAGGCTCAACTGGGGAGAGGCACTGGCTGCTCTCCCCTGTCCCAGCCCTCCTCACCACTATTCCGAGCAGCCTTGTTCTCGCCTCAGCACTGATGATGTCTGGTAGTTGTGTCACCGTCCAGTGCCTCTGGAGATCAGTTTGAGGTGCTCAGCCTCGAAGTTTGAGGGTTTCTGTAGTTGCAGGGGCTGGTTTGGTGAGCCTCAAGCTACCACAGCCACTGAAAACAATCATAATACTGTTGAGAGGCCTTAAGAAAAAGCCTGTTCTGCCACAGGTGTTGGAGATGATCTTAATAGTGTCCAGAGGCCTGGAAAAAAGATCCACTATTCACAGTGGGGTGAGCTCAGTTGTCTACAGCGCTTGCATTATGCCTGAATATTATAGGCCATAGCACAACAACCTGCCTCAGCCAAAAGCTTAAGTGCCCCTTTAGCTTTAAGTTACAGTTTCTGGGTTTTGATGGCTCAGGTAGCATGAATCTGCGTGCATAGATTTTCTTTGTGTATGTTGGAACAAAGAATTAAAGTCATAGTCATTAATGGCATATTTTAGCAGTCAGGTTTTTCCTTGTCATAAGACTGAGTTCTAGGCATGTGACTGACAGCTAATATATTGTTAATGTTAACATAATGTAAGTCTTGTATCTAGTGTCACTTGAAACAATGCAGGTAGGAGTGGAGTGTCAGATGTGTTCTGGATATTTTGCAGTAACTTGTAGAAAAATAAACTTTTAGATTTCAGAGAGAATAAATGGTGAGGAGTAGAGGGTGCTGAAAAGAAACGGAATTGCCAACATCTCCAGAAGTTCTTAATTCATGGAAACTTGTACAACATCAAAAATTGGGACTCTTTTTCCATTCCCACCCAGAGAGGCTTCCCTCAGGTCACTTGTTACTTCATGAAAGAAATATTGCTTGTTGTCTTTATCTAATTTTCAACAGCAGCAAGTCACAAAGCTAAGCACATCAGTAAGCAAAACCTCCGTTCCAAAGCCTGTCACAGCTGTAACTTTCTGCCAAAATGTCATGGGAATCTACAGAGAAGAATAATATCCTCACTCTGTGTATTGGAGACCTAGAAAAGAGAACAGAGTGAGGTTTGGGAAGGAAATTATATTCATAGGAAAATAAAACATTCATTAAAAAAAAAAAAATCCCTCATTTTTCACCGCCAGTAAGCTCTGAGAAAATAACAGTTCTTTGAGCAATAGTGTTATGCTTATGTCCTAAAGCTGTAAAAAAAAAATAGAAGGTTGAATCGCATTGTGCAGTCCAGCCAAGCTTGTGATCCCAAGTTGGTTGTGACAGTGACAGCCTAGGGCTTTTGGTTAAGTTTAGGAGTGAACTAAATGGTGCCAGTGCTCTCACAGGCAGAGCTTTCTGCCATCTCTGTGCTGGAGTGTTGGCTGGTATGCAATATATATGGAGAGTTGGGAACAGATGTACTCTGAAGCTGTGAATGGCTTTCATTTTCATCTTAACACTTTTACTTCAGAGGAGATCTTGTTCTTTGTGTGAACATAGGTGCAAAAATGTAACATTGAGGGACTGCAGTTTGTCATATAATCTATCACCCTGAAGTGGCAGATATCTGTGTTTGGCTTGATATTCTCTTCTAATGTCTGTTTACCTGCTGTAATTGAATGAATCTTTGAGTCATTAGCCTGTAATAACCAGTTCAACAGAAGTTAGCTACTGCAGCTATTATTGAGCATATTTTAATGTGGAAGAACTGTAGCAACATACAGACAAATACATGAGTAAATCAGGAATTTTCATCTGCTTTGCATGTGCTTTTAAAAAAATCATGAGAAAAAGGTTTTTGCACACTTTAGCTGAAAGTGGTGAGAATCTTAAATACTGATGTGGAAAATCTGGCAGACAAGACAAGAACAGACATGAACGAATAAGCAGTGCATCCTGTTGCATAGCATAACAGCATGTAGAAGGTTGGCCTGCCAATAGTAATCACAGATGATGCCTTTAGGAGGAGGAGGTGAGAAGAAACAGTGAGGAGAAATTACTGGGATTTGTTGCCAGTACAGTGGTGTTGATATGAAGGTCGGGTCCTACCTTGGGGGTAAAATTAAAGTGTGTTGGAGAACTTAAATGTTTGGCTTTCCTAGTGGATTTGTTGCAGTATAAAATAGAACCTCCAATTTCTTTTCTGAGATGGAGGAATCTCAGCTCTGTGCATGTGCACACACGTATTTTACTAAAGCAATATAGGGGAAAACAGACAAAGCTAAAGATTGGTGTTTAAAAACATTGTGGGACAAATAAGTTACTGTTGTTCCTTCTGTTCTCAAGTTTCAGCAGTTCTTGAAAGTACAGTGAGAAGTTCTGAAAGAGGAAAGCAGGGTTAGTATGTTTACTGGCAGAATAAAGATTTTCCATAAAAGTTTCAGACAGCTTTGTTTACTTTGCTTGCTGTAATGTCATATCTTAAAACAGATGGCCTTGTATAAAAACAAAAGAAAAAGGAAAAAAAAAAAAAAAAAAAAAAAGAAGGGCAACATTACCTGGGGGAACCATCTAAGGAATCACTGCTTCAGAAGTCTCTTGTGTCTCTTGTGGCCTTATTTGCCAAGTATTTTTCCCCATTGGCTGATGCATGTTCACTGACTCTGCAGGTCACACAATTACAGATTTGCTGGATGTATCTACCACGGTAGGTTTCTTTGTCCAGTTGTTGCTTATTCTTGCTTATGAGCTAAAAATAATTGTAGCAAAAAATCCAATTGTTTTAACTTTATGAAGGTATCTTTGTTGTCTTGTATGACTAATAAGGAACACTTTCAGGAAAGAATGAATGGCTTCTGTACATGAGATGCTCAAAACTTCCTTAATGTGAAACTTTTCAGACTTAAAAGCTCCCTACTTCCATTTATTTCTATCATATATCAGTAAATTTATAACAAAGCTGTTATGGAGCAAAAGCAAGTTATGCTTGCATTCTGCAAGTGCATATTGTTCTTGACAGTACCTTTTCTCATTTGGTGCTTGAATAACAGATGATTTATCTTGTATCTCTGGAGAGTTTCTGTGGCAGTGAAAGATCGTATCTTACACTGCTAAAGCCATCTCAGCAGCGACTGCCTGGTTCTGGCCTTGTTTTGCTGATAAAACTGCTGATTTCAGTATGTTGTATGTTAAATAGATTGGTACTATTAGATTGTTACTGGTCTGAGTAAGAGTTGCAAGAAATGGAGTGTATTTAAGCCTCATATCAGATTTCAGGCTCAGCACTAGTTTGTCTGTGAGTAAACCAGATAAAGAGGGTTAAGTCTCAGTCACATGTGTTACCCAGGCATGCCACTGAGGCAGTACAGTCTCAGAACATAGCTCATTGGTTATTTAAGTTCCTCTACAATCTGTGTTGTGAAGTCATGTAGTAATAGCTTAATCTGTCAATGAGTTAATGAGGTCCTTTAATTTGAGTTCTAGCTCAGGTAATATAAATGTATATGCTTTTGTTTGAAATCTAATGGAACAGTACTATTTTCTTCTAGGCAGCTGGTCTGTAGGTGATGACAAGAAGGAAACAGGCATATAGTCCTTTCTGCCTCATTGTTTTCCTACTACTAATAATAAGGTCCTCCCAAGGCAGTTGTAAAGTGATTATAACTGAGTTCTTTTGTTTCATTTGATCAGACCTGATTTTTTCCCTTCAGAGCTACAGTCTATGTTGCATGGAAGGACTAGGGTTCTGTGTTTAGTGCTTGTTAAAGCACATTGGGGTACAGTATTCTGATCTTTTTTATGCCTTGTGTTGATTCTGAAGCTTCCATTATCATGGTCTAATATTAAAGTTATAAAATGGAAAGGGTGTTTCCAATTTCTAAACTCATTTTAAGGAAGTCCTGAGCTCCCTCAGAAAGATTTAATACTAAAATAGTAAGAAAGGGGTGTGACAAATTGAGGGAGAAAACGATCCATCTACTGCCAGATTGAAGTTGGAAAGTATCAGTAATCGCTCATTAAAACACTTTGCAATATTTCCATAAGCAGGTCTTTAAAAGTGTAAGCACCTGTGTGGTGCACAGTTCTCATTCATGAGAGTTTATAGCATGCTTTACCAAATTAGTACTTTTCATGAGTTTTGGTAGGACACGTTAGGCTTCAAAGCCTAAATTGTTCTTGTACCTAATCAATCTAGAGGATACCCTTATACTCTTACATGAATACGTTGCATCTCTAAATCCCAGCTTTAATTATAGGACATTAGTCCAGAATGAATCTGAGGACATACTCAAGTTTATAAATGTGTTTATCCAGACACAGGGTGGAGCTGTGGCCGCATCCTGTCACTTTCTCATGTATTGTATCGCTGGAGGCGTTAAGCCATTCCACTCCCCCTGTGCAGAGATTTGTCATAGGCTGGCCAGTATGTCTGTTCTCTTCCCTTCGTCTCAGAAGATGCAGTGTGCTACCCAGTTGCCTCATAAACTTCTTCATTTGACTCCAGAATGGGAAATGTCAGTGCTGCTCTTACATAGTCATCAGTGAATGTGCAGACTGGTCACTGTTTCTGAGAGCTGTGTAAGGCTATACTCCTTCTGCAAATAGTAGAGCAGAGCTCTAATTCTCATGTAGTGTGAAATAGCTACACTTGAATTTTGCTGTATTTAAATGACTCTCAGTATTCAAAAGAAAAACTGAGATGGATCCAATTAGTTTGCCCTAGTTCTAAGTTGAAGTCATGCAGAGGTGCTAAGTTGTGTGGCTAAATGTAAGAGTATGCCAGGACTCATTTGAGAGGTTTGAAAACCTTTTGATGAACCTGTGATGAGTGACAAGTTGAAACTTGAAACCATATGACTTCAGATTTTACATTTGAATAACATCAATACTTAAAATATGCTGAGAATAAGTTAGTTTGGCTGTAATTTATACCTTTGTTGATGAAATGAACATAAGGACAAATAGTTTTATTTAGAGTAATGCTAATAGCACTTCTATTTATTTTATTTTTAATAGTTATTCTAAATTAATTGAAATAAATTTAATGGAGTTCCATTAATGAAAAACCCTGAAACATACAGAAGGCAGAAGATGGTCTGATGTTTCACATAGTTCTAGGGGAGTGATTTGTGTCACAGATGACTTCACTTTTGGAGGAAGAGTAGTTCCTAGGCAATGCTTTCACATCTGTTATTGCAGGAATCAATACCTTGAGGCTGTGTATTTCTGAACTGTAAATTTTTATTTTTAATTGTAACTGGAGGTATTTAGTATGTTAGTCCATGTTGTGATTGCAAAATTAGTTTCAATAGATTTACTAATTTTAATTGGGAGAATGTACTATGCTTGGCCTAGTTGGATATGTAGGATACACATGAGTAATTTTACGATAGTAAATAGTGAATTATATTTGTAATTGTTGCTCATCTGATGAGTTTGGTGTCTGTCATGCCCCCCCCCCCAATCATCTGTGGAGACACAGAAAGGAAAAGAATTTAATATCCTTTTTATGCTCTCTACATAGCATTTGGGAAATAAGATACTAAGATAACTCAAATAGCTCGATTTGAATTATGATATTGCCATTAGTTTGAAGTACAGTATGCCACGTGTGACTAGAATTTGTATTCCTAGGTCCTTTGACACAAGTGTGACTTCAGTTATGACTGGTTTTAGTCTGGTGGGTCATAGGTCATTCTCCCTGCATACCACCACTCAATTGTAGAGCTAGGCTGATACTAACAGTAAAAGCTTGAAGTTATCTAAAAACACGCTTTTCGTATTCTGGTAATTTTACCTAGCTACCTATGTTTTTACATTTTGCTAGCTTCCTAGAGCAGAAATCTTTCTTGTGTGCGTATTGTTTCCTCTCAATATCCAGGTGTCACAGTTTTGATTCATTAGCAATCGGTCAATTGCTGCTCATGCCTGCCTTGATAGTGAGCTTTGTTTCAGAGTTTCCTTATCCTCTTATTCACTTGTACACAGTGTACTACACTGTAGAACATGGAGTACTCCAGGTCCTAAGATTTACCAATTTATTGGAGACTGAATTTAGAGAAAGCTGAAATAACAGACTCTAGCTGATTGATATAGAGCTTATGGTTGAAGCTAGGAATGAGGCTGGAGTAAATGTTTTGAAGATATTTCAAAGGGTTATTAGAAGATGCCTTTTTTACTGGTTGTTGGAAGCAAGTCCCTTCCCAGAATTCCAGTTTGGTTGATGTCTGTGTATTGGTAGAGATCTAATGTAGCTTTTCTTTTAAAAGTGGAGTGGTAATGCACAGATGAAAAGATGGACTCGAGTGTAGTTAGAGATGCTTTATTTACCCATCTTGAAATTATTTTGATATGAATTTCTTTGTTTTGTGGAGATACCTGTACTTTTATTTAGTCATTCATGTTTACTTTTTCTTTACTGTTTCTTCTAGGATAAGTTGGATATCTGACATTGTTGTGGTTGTCTCTCCTGAAAATATTGAAACAATGAAGTCTATCATTGAAAAATATGGCCACAAAAGAGTTACAGTAGTAAAAGGTGGAGTAACTCGTCACCGGTCAATTTTCAATGGACTGAAGGTGTTTGCAGAGAATGAATTTTCCAGTCAGCTGCTCCGGAAACCAGAAGTAGTGATTATCCATGATGCCGTGAGGCCATTTGTTGAAGAAGATATTCTTTCAAAAGTGGTTATGGCTGCTAAAGACCATGGGGTATGTACTATACAGCAATGCAACTCTGCAGTGTTCTTTATATTGTATAGAGTAAAATAATGATTGATAAATAAGGATTTTTCTAGCAATTTTATTAATGTATTATGTTGATTTCTAAGTAGAACAGATTCAGAATCTGTATTACGGAGAGAGGTCAGATGGGGGAGGAAGACATTTTTAAATGCTGCAGGCATTACTTGCTATGGGGAATAATTATTGCCACAGAGACTATCAGTAAGAGATTGAATTAATCATCAATTTGCTAGTTGAAAGGTAGATTACATAATAATAATAGTTTACCTTTTTTCTAGGCAGATTTCTTACCTAATGCTAGAATAGTTCAGTTAGTGATTACTAATAATAAACAGAGTGCTGTCTTGCTTGAGTCACAAGCTTTGTATGTTTTTACCTTTATATGTGAATCCTAAGGAAGTGGCAAGAGTATCTCTGTCTTAATGTTATCCTAAGTATCTCTGTCTTAATGTTATCCTAAGTATCTCTGTCTTAATGTTAAATTTTTCTAGAATCTGTAAATGTTGCAAACTGCTGAGAAAAAGGGAAAGTGGAAAGCCTCCAAATGTATGTTGGAGATCACTGCACATGAGGACTGAGAATATTTGCAGGAGCCAGAAAGATTTCTGAGAAACTAAGTGATAGGTGAAGGGGAAGAGTTTGGTAGAAGTTGTGTTATGCAAGTAGAAAGGTAGAGTTATGAAAGGCATGCACTAGCTTCAAGAGGAACTGGTGAATAAACTGTCTAATTAAGACAGAGATGTAAGAAATCATGACTTAGTCACAGGCTTTTTTGTACATTTTGCTGTTCTTACCTTGTACTTCAGTTCTTCATTAATAATACACTAGAAAACTTCCCTACTTCCAAGAGATGGTTTGAGGTAGAAGTCATTAGTGACAGCAGATTGTTTGGGTGTTAGCAAGCTAGGAAAATCTGCTGCTTGTCTGTTTTTCTCAAGAAATGAAGTAAAAGATAAGCTAATTGACAGATGATTTGCAACCCTGACAGTGGAATAGAGTCCGAAGAATGACTCCTGGTATTTCCTTAGCACTCCTTCACCTTTTCTTTGAAAGCTCATATTATAGAAGGGGAATGTATGACTTGTTAAAATATTTATTATGAAAATTAAATCATGCAAGGTCCCTCAGAACATTGTTAGAAGTCTAGATATACTGAGCTTCTTAATAGTAGGCCTGTACTTTTGTGCATTGGCTTAATATGGAATGGCAATAAAATAATAACTCTGCTCTGTAGTTTTCAGTGATACAGAATGTAAGTTTCCAGTCATTAAAACTTAAATTCCGTTAGAATTTTAACAAGGTTTTTGACCTTTCTCCTGTAGCACAAAATAGCATCCCAGAATTGATTCCCTGCCAGAGACTTTTAAAACACATCCCCTTTGTAAATCTGTTCTAAATGTGATTCTTTGAGAGCAGTAGAAGAATGGGGTTAATTGTGCTGATATTGAGTTGAAATGAGAAAAACGCAAACACAGAAAAGAGCTAAGGTATCTTTGCATGTTGTGGTGTATCGTATCACATTTGTCTTTGTGTTCAAGTTTTTTGTTCACTTTTTCTTGAAACTTGTGTGATTTTAATGTAATATTTTTTTCCTGGTTTTCTTTTTAATGGTGTGTATGGCATTTTCAGTAAAACAGTAGGGAATCAAGGCATTCTCCATTGACCTTCTCAAGGCAGTGTACTGTAGCTCTAGAAGTTCTGAACTCTTGACTGGTAAATATTTCCTTACCTAGATCATGGAGGTATCTTATTTGATCTCAAAAGGGTGATCTTACACATTTAGCATAGTCTTTTCCATTGTATAGTTTGTGTCTGAAATGTGCGTGGTATTTATTGGCTCTGTGATGACTTCCTGTGTTGGCTTAGTTCCATGGAATTCAATGAGGCTAGGCTGTCAGAGAACTGGACTCCAAGAGCTGTTAGCTATTGATGTTACCTGACAAAGCAGTTGAATTAAGGAACATGAGAAGAACTTAATTTTATGTAACAATTTAGAGAAGCTTCCTGCCAGAGAGAGGTGGCTGTCTTTACTTGACAACTACAGAATTCTGAAGTAATAAATGTCTCGAAAGCTAAGACTCTTTCTCAAAAGTGACATGCATGGTTTTGAAAAAAATTTGATCAAGGGAAGCTATCATCTTTAGTTCTTCCTATAGTCAAATTCTTTGCATATCTGAGGGGGAGCCAGTTCTTCAATCTTTCAGTACAGAAAGTAATTACTTCCTTTTGCATTATGTAGAAAGGTACAAAACCTGGCAGAAACATCATATTAAATCACTAGTGTAATAGTGGTAATGCTGTATTGTTGTTCATCTGCATACCATATAGGTAGCATAATTATGAGAAGCTTTAATGTTTTTTAAAATGGCAATTGATCAAGTAAGTTATTGCACTTCTAGCTGCCAATTGTCAGACAAATAAACTGCTTTATTACACTTACTAATCAGTTTGTTATTTGCCTGTGGGAATTAAAATGTGTACCTTATCCAGAACTAATAAATTATGCCTTAAATCCCCCAAACAATTGCTTGATTATGTGAAAATATTACTTTGTAACCAATTAAATTCCATTTATGTTTTTTGGGTAATTTTGTAGTTAAAATTACATGTTTCTAGAAACAAATTCTTTATTGCTAGTAAAAGGAAAAGTGGAAGCTTCAGAAGGCATCAGTCCAAAGCCTTTAGCAATATCTCTTTGCCAACATTACATTTTAAACAACATAACCAAAAAGCAAAAAGCATGCAAGGAAAAATCGGGAGGGGGGGAACTTGTCGTTTCTTCTACTGAGAGTTTAAAAAAGGCGTATACAGTCAAAGACTCTTTCTGTATTTAACATAAACTAGATTTGAAGGTATAGGTTATTTCTTTGAAAGGACTGAATCAAAACAGCATTCCTCATTCTTAAAAGCTGGTTTCTGGAAGCTGTCTAACATCATTACTTTATTCTCAGATTTAGCTAGAATCTGAACAAAGCATACATCCCAGTACAGATGTGCAGTATTACTTGGTTGCACGGGTTCTTATGCACGTGCACACTCAGTCAAAATAATACCCCCCAGACAGAAAACATGAATTGTGGGGGTGTTACATAGCAAATTTAGAGGAAAATATTTTAAGAGCTACATGATAAGGCACATGAAGGACAGAGAGATAATTCAGGACAGCCAGTGTTATGAAATGGCTTCACCAAGGTCAAGTCCTGCCTGACCAACCTAGTGGCATTCTCTGATGGGCTGTTTTGATAGATGGGAAGAGCTACAGGTGTTATCTAACTGGACTTCTGTAAGGCAAAAATATGGTTAATTGCTCAGTGTCCAGGTGGAGATCAGTGACAAGTGGTGTCCGCTAGGGGTCCAGTACTGTTTAATATCTTCATCTATGACATGGTGGGATTGAATGTACCCTTGGCAAGTTTGCAGGTGACATCAAGCTGAGTGGTGTGGCTGACACACCTGAGGGATTGTATGTCATCTAGAAGGACCTGGACAAGCAAGGTCCTGCACCTGGGTTGGGACAACCCCTGGTGTCAGTACAGGCTAGGGATGAAAGTATTGGGAGCAGCCTCATGGAGAGAGGCTTGGGGGTACCAGTGGATGAAAAGCTGGCAGTGTTTGCATGCAGCCCAAAAGGCCAGTCATTTTGAGCCACATCCAGAGTAGCATGGCCAGCAGGTCAGGGGAGGTAATTCTGCCCCTCTACTGTCTGCTCTGGTGGGACCCCATCTGGAGTAGTGTGTTCAGATCTGGAGTCCTCAGTACAGAAAGTTATGGATCTGTTGGTGTGGGTCCAGAGGAGGGATACAAAAGTGGTCAGAGGGGTGGAACACTGCCTCTATGAAAGACAGGCTGAAAGAGTCAGATTTGTTCAGCCTTGGAGAAGAGAAGGTTCCAGAGAGACCATATTGCAGCCTTTCCATACATCAAGGTGTCTTGTAAGAAGGATGGAGAAAGACTTTTAAGCATGGCCTGTTGTGATAGGAGAAGTGGTAATGTTTTTAAACTAAAAGAGGGCAAATTTACACTATTTACACATTTAAGCAAGATTTTTTTATTTTTTTCTTTATGATGTGGGTGGTGAAATACTGGGACAGGTTGTGCAGAGAGGTGGTAGATACCTGGTCCCTGGAAACATTCAAGGTTGGATGGGGCTCTGAGCAACCTGATGTAATTGATGATGTTCCTGCTTCTTTCAGGGCAGGTTGGACTAGATGCCCTTTAAAGGTCTCTTCCAACCCAAACTATTCTAAGATTTTACATTACTGTGAAGATCAGGATCGCTTTAGTAGCCGTGAAACTTTTTTGCATGTGTGAGGAAACTAAGTGTGGTTTTGCTGTTGTACAGGAAAGAGTTACACAATGCATTACTCCTTTTTAAACTCTATAATAATGGTAACTGTAAGAAACATACTGATGTTTCCATAGCTTATGGCATTATTCTTCCCATAGAGAATTATAATCATCTCAACCAAGTTGTTATTTTCTGTGTTGAGTGGAGGACTGATGTATTGTTAGCAAATACTTGCAGTCTTTGTCCTAACAACATGTAGTGTTTGGTGGTGGGAAATAGCTGTCGTTTCCGAGTCCCCATTTAAGTGATTTAGATGATTCATTGCATTCATTAGGGAGGATGCAACTTAAAGAACTGAAATACATAAATCATAGACAGAAACTTAAATTATAATCTCCCTTTCTTCTTTGCACCATTTCTGTGTTGTATTAACAGAGCCAGCTGGGCCTAATGCGACTGTTACTTAATCCTTTTTAAAAAAGGTGACTTTATCCCACTTTATCTAGCTTCTGGAAGTCTACACATACAATATTTTTAACCTTTTTTTTAGGTAGGATTAGGTTATCCTGGAAATAAATTTTCAGCATAGCTTCCTGTAGTTACGTGGTTGCTGAGGTCATTTATGTGTAATGTCTCTCCTTTAAATTCAGAGAAATGATGTGTATCATGTTGCTGTTGA